GTTAAGCCTACCCCAAAATTAAGGAACGCTCGACCTCGACAAGTGATAGCGAAATGGGCGAAATCGCCTCTTGATATCATTATCTTGAATCTTGAATCTTGAATGAATTTGAAAAGTGACGGGGAGATAAGTGGGGAATTGCCCTGCGAGGAGAATTCGAGTTAGAGCTTAGAACTTCTTGGAGAATAAACTTGTTTTTGGACATGGTTATTCCAGATGGATCCAGTCTAATAAGCAGTCTGCTGAAGCAGTGTTTTCTGTGCTCTTGGAATCCATATTTTCCCTGCTCGTTTAAATATAGCGTCATGATGCTGATTAGGAGAACGAAACAACTCATCCTCCTCACAACTTTTTAATCCGGCCCTGAGGGTTAAAAAAAAAATAATACATTTTGGCCGTTTTGAGAAAGATCAGGTTATTTAAAGTTAGTTGGTCCGATCGCATCGAGAGAGTTTGAGATGCGTTAAGCCGGTCGGCGTCGTGTACTGTACGCAGCATCCTCTCCGATCCATTGCCAATGCATCCGATGAGGCGTCGTTGGAAAAGTTTGCATCGACCGGGAGGCAGTGTCGAGCGCGTGGTTCATTCAGAGCATTTCCTAGCATTCAGACGGTGGGGAAGGATGCCTTCCAACGAATTAGGGAGAGGAAACGTCTCGCTTCGTAAGCGAACTCACGATTCTACCGAATACGTGAGGGTGCCATCTATTGGAGATGCAAGGATTTTTGAGGATGAGGCATACCGGATGGGAGTGCTTTCCGTTTGCGCTGTTGGAGATTTCTCCTTATACTCGGATGCACTTTGTTTTACTGGCATCCATGACCTTTACGTCGATTAACGTTCACGCGTAGATGTGGTAAGGATGTAGAGTGCTGAAAGCCGAACCCGAAGAGAATCCCCCGAGTGGCCACTCCCCCAGAATCTAGTATCCGAAACTTAGGAGTGACTTGGAACCGAGACGGTGGGAAGGATGGAGAGAGGGATGGAAGGAGGGAGGGATGGAAGGAGGGAGGGATGGAGGGAGGGATGGAGGGAGGGATGGCTGGGATTCCAGAGTGAAGGCTAGATGTCATGGGCCTGGCATCGTATCGTATCGGATGGCGCGGGGAAGCTGAAAACAGACCTAATTGCCTCTTTTCATCATCATCACCATCAACACGAGGTGAGGCAGGCGGAGATTTCGAAAGCCGAACTCGCACTAGCAAATGACTACCGTTACCCCTTACCTCTTTTCCAACAGCCCGAGCTCGACTCACCTGGGCTGGTGTATGAAAAGAATTTATCGTTTCCAGACCGAGACGCTTGCCGTATTTTAATGGAGCCTGGAGCTTCCCACGTGCCTTCTCTCCATCCATGCCCCATATCGAATGTCTTCTTCCGGATCCCCGATCCCCAAAACGACTCGTGTGTGATTCAAGAAAGACTATTACGACTTATTCGTTCCCCCATGGTCTCGAACTTTTTCAGAATCACGATCGGGAGAGAACATTTTAAGCTCGTCGACGAGTAAACTTTGATATGTAGCTTCTCGTCGCGTCTCACGAGATCCAAGTTAGGTGGTTCGACCGATGGCACCCCGACGACCACGGGCGACGCTCGTTATCGACTTCCCATGGCCCCTCCTTCCTGCTGCCCGTCAGTTTTCGATACAAAACCCTCATTTTCTCCGATCGCCTAAAGTAAATAGCTCTTTGATCACCTTGCAAATGATGCACACGACCGACGGAGCACCGTGTCGGTTGGGTTTCGGTAGCTGGTCTGCGATCGGAGAGCGAACGCTAATTAGAAGAACTAATTAGGAAAGGAAGGGAGACCCCCCTCCCCCACTAAGGTTGCGGTGCCGGAGCTGACATGGCTTCCTTCGTTCTCGCAGGAGGTTCAAGTAAACACGTGGGAACGAAGTTTCCGAGAAAGAATCGACGAGATGCCGACTTCGAACCGAAAGAAAGCCGATCTTAGGACGACCGTGGACTTTCCGTCGATGCGAGCAGGTTGGAGAGACCGACCGTCCCGGATTTCGTTTGTCTATCCCGTGTCCCGCGAACGGCAAGAAATCATCCGCAAAAGAGAGAGAAAAAAAAAGTAAAGATAAATGCGGATAATTTTGTTTTTAACCCTTGTATCCCCCCCCCCACTCGTGAACCTCACGTGTCCCGCATTTTCGTTTCTCGACGTGTGCGATGCGAAAGGAACTCGTGGAAGGATTCACCAGTTCTGCCTCTGTTAAAGCAGAACTTGTGGTCGATTTTCATGAAAATCGGCACGAGGCGAAAAGGTGAAGTTCTCGCCTCGAGGAAATTCCCTCTCGGTTCCCCGAAGCCGATCTGTCACCTTCCCTGTCCCCTGTTTTCGCATCGTTTCGCACGTATTATGAAAAGTTTTCCCAGAACATTCATCGACTTGCCTCTTGGAGAGTTTTCGTAGAACATCCGTGCAACTCTTAAGCAATAATTTGAGCCCCTCGTTGGTTATGGTTGCGTTGCTGCTTTGTGTTATTACTCTAGGCTCTCAGCACCGCCTCAAACGGATCCATCAGTTTCTTTATGCTAGGTAGGGGAGGGGGGGGGGGGGGGGGGGGGGGGGG